TTTTATTCATCTGAGAGGATAAATATTCAGAATGGATAATTAAAAATATTAAACACCAAAGTAACAAATAATGGGCAAATGAACTAAATAGATAGTTCTCAAAAGAACAAATGATCTGTAAATATATAAAAAAAATGCTCAACAACTTTTTGAGACAAGGTCGGTCTCACTATACAGTTCTCACCTTGGCTTTCTTAGATCTCACTCTGTAGACCAGTTTGCCCTCAAACTCACAGATTTTCTTCCTCTGCCTCCCAAGTGCTGGGATTAAAGGTATGCAACACCATGCCCAGCCCTGTTCAACACTTTCTGATATCAAGGAAATGTATGCCATGATTGGAACAAACAGAATTCTTCATTTGCATGGGCTTCATTCACATAAGTGACTGTGACTTATACAAGTATGGAACTGTCCCATGATTGCTACAAGCATCTTCATCTACAACAGGGACTGTTGTGATGGATATAAATGCAACCCTCCATTTTCATGAAAGACCCTGTCATGACTGGACAAACACAGATCTCATTTTGGATGACTACTACTACCTCTGCAAGTGTGTTCCCTCATTTGCATGGAAGGAAAGCAAGGCACTATGCCATGATCTGTGCAAATAAAAGCCTTCATTTGCATCAGGAACTGCTTTGATTAGTGCAAATGCTATGCCTCATTTGCTTGAGGGACTATGCTCTGACTGGTAAAAGCACATGCCTTCATTTTTATGAGATGCTGCTATTATTGGGTAGAGCATGGTCCTTCACATGCATGTGGGTCTACTGCACTCAGTGAAGAACCTTTGCTACAGCCACACCCATTTCTGACCAGATAAGCAAGCTGTTTGGTTCACTTCATGGCCATCTGGGAGATACCCTCTTATGCCGTGTTGCAGCATTAAGACCAAATTAAAAGACTTCATGGGACTAGAGAGATGGCTCAGTGGTTAAGAGCACTGGCTGCTCTTTCAGAGGACCCGGATTCAATTCCCAGCACCCACACGGTGGCTCACGACTGTATAACTTTAGCTCTGACACCCTCACACAAACATACATGTAAGCAAAACACTAATGCACATAAAATAAAATTATTTAAAAAATTAAAAGACTTCTGACAAATCTCCCTTTGACCTTTATTATTAATATACTGGGCTGTGTTGGTCACACAAAGGAAGGAAGGCAGCAATAGTACTGAAGGTGGCAAAAGCCACTGCCCTGCTGGCAGCAGTAAGCACAGCAGAAGCAGAACCTACCTGGCAGATGAAGAGCTGAAGACCATGCCGAGAGGAGAAATAATGGGGAACTAAGCAACAGAGAAGATAAGAGCTATGGAGAGCTGTAAAACTTGAAGCTCTCAATGACTTGAAGACCCTGATACTGTAGGTCTAAGAGCTGTAACACTTGTCGCTGTAAGACCCAGGAGCCTAGCACCTGAAGCCTATATAAAAGCTATAACATAAAAGTACCAGCTACTGCTGCTGCTGCTGCCGCTGCTGCTGCTGCTTGCTATTGTCTAATGCCACTAACTGCTGCTATAATCAAATGATTACAACAGCTGCCATTTGCCAGGACCACTGGTATCAAAAGCCCTGTATCAATTTTCTGTTGCTGTGATAAAATGCCATAGCTGAAAGCAACTTAAAGAAACAAAGGTTTATTTTACCTAACAGTTCCAGAGGGAGACTCCATAACAGGGAATGCATGGCATGGCTGCAGGAGCGGAGAGCAGGGAGACCACATATTCTTCCAGGCACACAAAGCAGAAAGGGAACAGTAAGTAAGATGCGGCTATAAGCCTTCAAAGTCTGTACCCAGTAATACTTCCCCCAGGAAGGCTCCACCTCCTAAAGGTTCCATAACCTCCCCAAACAGTACCATCAACTGTTCAAAATATGTGAGTTACTACTGAAGGATAGTTCTTTAAATTATTTTAAATCAATACTTTGATTATTTAATACAATCTATTTTGATCATTAGAAGATTCTTCTTACAGTGAACAAATCCACCTCTTCCACTCCCATGCTAGTATTTTGTCCGACCTGAGAGTTCACAAGTCTGTGCGATGCTGTCAAAATTGTTGTGAGTTCATACATGCAACTGCTCTGCTGTGTTTGGAAAAGGTTGTTTCATTGTGGTCATTCACTGTCTCTGACTCCTACAATCTTCCCAGAGCCTCTTCCATGAAGTTCCCTGGGTCTTAGAGAGAGAAGTATGTTATAGATGTCACTTTAGAGCTGAACGCCCTGCAGGCTTTTGCTCTCTGCATATGCTCTCTTGCTAGCATAGTCATCATTGTCCGTAGGGCTTGCAGCTATAGGAGACTGATGATGACGTTTCTCCTGCAGCAGCACACATAGCACCTTCCAGTACTATGAAGCTGTCTAGGAGGAATGAAGCTTCCAGGTCAGCTTGATTTTTCCATACTTTATCACTCAGGTATGTGGTTTCTTTACTAATATTCTTTAAAACTATAATAGTAAAGACTTTTTTGCATGCGTTTTGCTTGCATATATGAGCCCGGTGCCCAAGGAGGCCATAAGAGGGTGTTACATAACCTGGAAATGGAGTTACAAATGGTTGTGAGCCACCAAGTTAATACTTAGGACTGAACCTGGATCCTCTACAAGAACAGCAGGTGATCTTAATCACTGAGCCATCCATCTCTCCAGCCCCATCAATAGGGTCGTATGACCAAATTATGGAGTGTTTGCATAAAATGTGTGGAGCAGCAATAGCCTATAATGTGTGAAAATCTATGGGACCCCTCTGGCCCACAACTCAAAAGGAAGTATCCCATTCCTAATCCTGGGGTTGCTATCTGCTAGCATGTGGTGTCTAGCTGGGGTACTGTGAGGGACATTTCCTATTCAAACCACCAGAGCCTAAGTGATTATAACCATACATCCTTAGTTCTAAAACATCAAGCAATAGACCTCTAGCTCTCAGGGGTGATCAAACACCAAAACAACTTGGGGAGAAAGGGGTTTGTTTGGCTTACACTTCCACATCACTGTTCATCACTGAAGAAAGTCAGAACAGGAAGTCAATCAGGGTAGGAACCTCAGGGCAGGAGCTGATGCAGAGACCATGGAGGGAAGCTGCTTACTGGCTTGCTCCTCATGGCTTTCTCAGCCTGCTTTCTTATAAAGCCCAGGACCACCAGCCCAGGGCTGGTCCCACCCACAACAGGCTGACCCCTCCCCTATCAATCACTAATTAAGAGAACACCCGACAGCCGGGTCTCAATTGAAGTTCCTCCTTTCAGACGACTCTACTTTATGTCAGTCGACATAAAACTAGCCAGCACACTAAGGAAGACTAAGTATGGAAAGGAATGTAGAGGAAATACAGAGGCCCCAGAGCAAAGGCAGCTCCTCTACAAGCTTGAGTCTCACACAGTCTGTGGCATACCTAACCTAATACACAGACTCTGAGGCCGGACTGCCTGGGCATGAGTTTTAGCCTACCACTGACTGGAGAGCCTTTGTCAGTCTACCTAAGATCTTTGTGAACCTCATCTCTTAACAGTAAGAATGACTCCTTTCTTGGTCAGGTTGCAATAAGGATTAAATGAGTTAATATGAATAAATTACTTAAATAAGTCCAGTGAATTCTATATGCACTTTTGAAAAGAAAAAAAATTTATAATGAATAAAAATTTATTTAGTAATTATCTGTAATCACACAAGAAAAGGAGATGTGTTTGGTTGCTAAGAACTAGGAGGTAGTTACCGTAGATATACTAGAACCTTGACAAGCCATTGTTAAAGCATTGCCTACCCTTTAAGTGGACAGCTGGGCTGTGTTAATCTATCCAGAAGGCTAAAACACTCAACGAATCTTTCTAAAACTCAACACAGCTAACATTTTCAGCCCCAAACTCATCTTGTTATCAGATAAATAACTTATCATCTCACGGTAAGCCAAATACATAGATATTTCCACTTTATGGGGACTTACAGGCTTACCTTTAGGTGAGTCCACTTCAGGCTATCTAGTAGAGACACTGGACATAACAGTATCCATAATCGTCTGATAGCTCAGGTCTCTCACACACAGCCTGTTGTATTCAATACTCGGAAAGCAGACTGCCTACATTTGAATTGTGGTCATCCCTAATACACACAAAGTCTGTGTATTAGGTTAGGTATTACCCTTCTTACCTCTGAAAGGAAGAACTTGTACGGTGCCAGTCTGGACAAACAGTGACTAAGATCAAAGCCAAGAAGCTCTGTAACTACTTAAGATATATGAATAACATCTAGATTGTTTTATTACACAAAAGTAGAGGGGATACTAATGGGAAAGGTGAGGGGAAGAGATGGAAGGGTCATGGTGGGTGAGGATAATCAAAGTATGTTATTTACATATTCTAACGTATACTGATGAAATTCACTATTTTGTACAATTAATATACACTAATAAATGTACTAAAAAAGAAATTGACATGAATATATTTCCAACCTTGTCTCAAAGGGACATATCTATCATAGAATCAAGACAGCTGGGCTCTTTCCTTTCAGGCTCTAGGTCTTATTAGCTTCACGAGCCAAACTAGAGGAAGGTTGGTTTTGATCACAGGCCATATATATGGGTTTTGGTTCTATCTGATGCAAGGCATTCTCCAGTAGATCTTTAGGGAAGCCAATTTTCTAAACAGTGAGCTGTGCTCTAAGGTAAGCTACAAAATGTGAGTCTCTGAAAATAACAATGCTCCAAAACAGTGGATAGATGACTGGCTGACTGTGCAGAACAATGCTAATCACCCATTAGTACCTGGCATACAAACAGCCGGGCAAGGCCTGTATAGGTACAAAATGACATCTTTCCGTAACCCCACTGGTTCTTCCTGCAATGCTGGGCATCGACAAAATGAACTATTAGAGAAATGTAAGTCAAACTCGTAATGAGATCTCATTTCATGCCCGCTAGAATAGCTACAAACACCAAGGCAGCAATAAGCTTTGCTGCACATGTGGCGGAAATAGAACTCTCTAGCATTTCCTGGTGTCAATGTGAAATGTTACGGCCACCTTGCAAAACAATCCAGCAGTTTCTCTGAATGCTTCAACACAGATGCAGTGTATGATACAGAAATTACTCCTAGGGATATGCCCAAAAGAAATGAACACATACCCATACATTTACACTCCCGTGCGCGCGTTTATTGCAGTGTTACCTATAAGCTGATAAGTAGCAACAATCCAAATGTCCATCAGCAGATGAGTGAATGCCTAAAATGTGACAGACCTGCAATTTTTCAGCCATAAAAAGAAATGAAGCCAGGGGCTGTAGTGCATGCCTTTAATCCAAGCATAGGCATAGGCTGGCTGATCTCTGTGAGTTCAAGGCTATCCTGATCTATGTAGCAAGTTCCAGGTCAGCCAGAGATATGAAGTGAGACCTATCTCAAAAACTTTAAGTATTCATACATGCTACAACATGGAACCGTGAAGCAGCTACCTAAATTAACTTTTACTTAGGCAATCACTTCTTAATCAGCCTGCATGCTAAACTCACTTGAGAAACATATTTAACTCCCCTGGAATCTTTGACAGTGAGGTACCTGGATTGCTGTTTAATATCTAGTCTTCTCTAGGTGATGTCTGAGGCCCCTTACAGATCCTAGGAACTGGATGAAATCTATGAAAAATGGGTTACCAACACCTCTACCTTTGAAGCTAAGGCAATAACAGAGCCAAGCCCAATAGACAAGCTGCTTACAACAGGTCTTCCAATGGTTCTTTAAACTAAGCCGGTTTTTCTCCAATGCATCACCACACCTTTGCCCAAGACTGAATGAAGACAATTCCTAGTAGTAACAAGCCATAGCTAAAGGGATAGGGTCCATCTGATTGCATCTGTGTGTTCGGTTGCTTTAGTGACAAGTCACTGTATTTTGTAGGAAGCTACCTACATATTACCACAATGTTCTCATTGGAGCTTAGGATAGCCAGTCTCTCCTCCATGGCATTTACAAGTTAGGCTGGGTTGGATGATGCAATGGAATTCTAACAGTCACAGACTTTCTGTTTACCAGACAGACAAACTGACCTAATCCACAATTGATGTGATTTGTCATTTATTTTTGTCCTTTAATATTTAAGATCCAAGCTGAATCATGTTCCGACTTCTGAGTGCCTGCTGGTCTCGACAAAAGGCCACAGAATCAAAGCAAAGGTAACTTTACAGCTACTTTTCTACACCCACTTTGGAATTACTTCCCACATATCTGCCTAAAGTTTCACAAGGGACAAATGACCATGACCCATTTGGAAAGTAACTAGACAGCGAGTGCAGGACTTGGAACAGAACTGAGAGAGGATGACCATTCTATAAACAGAAGGGGCCAGGGAGGGAAAGCATCTCTGGAGGATTTGGGAGGGGTGGCCACACCCCTCCAGCCACTGTGGTGGGGCTTCTTATGATACACTGAGAAACACTTCAAAACAAATAGAATTCTTCAGGGTAAGCATCAAGAGGTTCGTGGCTTTGACTAATTTTTCTTGTCCTCTTCCAGGAATGTGACTATCATTGTCATTGGCTTGGACAACTCAGGCAAAAGTCATCTTGTGGAGGCCCTTCAAAGATGTAAGAACTAAGAACATTAGTTTCTGGTGTGGGTCTGCCGGAAATATTCATTCCACTTTAGCCTTACTTCCTGGCCCTCAGTTTCTCTCTTGTAAAAATAAATAGCTCTGTCTCCTCATTAGGTGTTAACAGGCTATTTCCAGAGTGCCTGTCATCTGCTCCCTTTATAAGATGCCCTCATCGGAAGTCGTCATGTGATGTCAAATGAATGAGCTTTAGCTACACAAAACATTGTCAACAATTTTGAAGCACAGTGTATTTGAAATGCTGTCTAGTTTCGGAGCTGAATTCCTGTGTAATTTGGTCTAGATAAGAGACAAGTAATGACGAAATGTAATAACACAAAACTCCGCGACAGCTGCTGTTGAAAGTTAGAGCTCAAGACTTGTCCGCTCAAGTGTAGCAGCAATCTCCAGTCCCTCGACTAGAGCAGGTTCCCAAGGGCACTCACATAGCATTGCAGGAAACTGCTGTACTCGTGAAGCCCCAGCTACCTCTACCTGCTAATCAATCAGAGTCTGGCCCATCAGCAAGGTTTACTGACTCAATATAGGAGTGCGTTGACACGGCTGGCTTTGATAGAACCTGGCAACCCTCCGCAGAGTATAGGAAATGGTTACCTTGACACCTGTGCCCACAGTCTACTTGGCGTTTCTTCAGTTCCCTTCAAAGCCAGTAAACTCTGGCTGACTTGTTTATGTCTGCTCCTTCCTCTAATTATCAGAGAGGTGCACAGATCTAATCATGACACGCCCCTGCTCAGGGTTGTTCCACGTTGCCCCATTGTAGAACACAAGGTCCTGTTTGTGCTTCTGACTCCTCCTCCGGGTTCATTTCCCACGTTCTTCACAAAGAGTCCTCTGAGACAACCAAAGCAAAAGGTCTGTTTTCCTCGGCCACACCACTGGGCTTGCCACAGCTCCACTCCTGCATGTATGCTCCTCTGTCACCTTCTTAAGCAAGCCCCTCCACTCACGACCTGGCCACAGGAAAGCCCTCCTTTGCCCCCTGCACCCACCCCTTGCTCACACCCTCGAGCATGCGCTTATCCCAAGGTCCTTGCAGAATTCCTAATCCACCACTAACTCGGGAGCCCCATGAGGAGAAGAAATGGGTCTTTTCCTCACTGAGTCTCTACCGTCAGCATCTTCAACAATTCCTCCTGGAATGAACGGTCTCCACCATTCCCCTGAGACTACACATTGCCTTTTCAGAACTTCTTTCTCCCTCAGCCCCAAGAACCTCCAAGTGCATTTTGAGCAACACTTCAGCCTAGCATGCCCACCCTTACTTATTTGCAGCACGCTTGACTCCTTGTATCTCCCAATACTGATAGGCAAAAATGATCAAAAGTAAAGAGTGGCAGGAAAGTCAAAGAACCAGGCAAGACAAGTCACAAGTTTACTGACAAGATTGGGGATAGTTTACTAGAGTTTCAGTAGCCTCGGCCCCAGACTCCTATTCAGTCCGGGTGGGGCCTGGGAACCCACAACATGAGAACTCTCCAGGTGTTTCCAGCTGTGGGAAGCACTCCTTTGAAATGAACCACAAGCTATTCATCTGAGACAAGTGTCTGTGTTCCACTCTGATTCTTGGAGCACAGATAGAGTTTGTTACTGCATAACTTGTCTTGTGCTCAGTGAATACCTTGGGACTGGCTCGTGAATGCATTGGTTTATGGTAGTGACTTCAATCACTGAAACATTCTAATAGGCACTGATATTATCACATTCTGAAGAATGTCTCAGGGCAGCTCCATTCATGCAGGGCCACTTAAAGTCAATCCTGTAGATTTCTCTGTATCCAAAATTGAATAGCCCAATTCTCCTGTTCCTGTGTTTTTCAAAGGTGAATGCCACAAACAGATAATTGTCTAGGAAAGGAATTCCAGCCTACATATAGTAACCTATATGGACATTTAAAGACACCAGCTACAAACCAGTTTGGCATACCTGCCATCACTACTGATGACACCATTCACTTGTTTTGCATGGCATGGTCACGTGGGATAAGAAACTCAAGGATGAGCACAGACAGGCGCCCTAAATAAGAATGTTGTTGGTTGTATTTACTCTTTTTACACTTTGGCTCTTTGGGGGACCCACCATCCAGCACCTAAACAAATCACACAGAGGTTTATTCTTACTTATGAATGCCCAGCCTTAGCTTGGCTTATTTCTAGCCAGCTTTTCTTAAATTAGCCCCATCTACCTTTTGCCTCTGGGCTTTTACCTTTCTCTATTTCTGTACATCTTTTCTTTCCTTCTTACTCCATATCTGGCTGTGTGGCTGACCCCTTATTTTCTCACTCCTCCCTTTCTCTTCCCAGCTTTCTCCTTCTATTTATTCTCTCTACCTGCCCAGCCCTGCCTATTCTTTCTCTGCCCAGCTATCAGAGGTTCAACTCTTCATTAGACCACTCAGTTGTTTTAGACATGCAAAGTAACACAGTTTCACACAAATGCAACAAAAAAGAATGCAGCACAACTTTGCATCATTAAAACAAATGTTCCACCACATAAACAATTGTAACATATCTTAAAACAATATTCCACAATGTAAGAATATTGAGATCTGTGAATGTATGGCAAATCTGACATACATTCATTCGAATCACCTGGATACTTTTTTAAAAATTATTTATTTTATATGTATGAGTGTTTTCCCTGCATGTATGTATGTGTACCATGAACATGGTATGTAGTGCCCACAGAGGCCAGAAGAAAGGATTAGATACCCTGGAACTGAAACTACAGGCAGGTTTGAGCTACCAAATCCATCTAGAAGAACGGCAAGTACTCTTTAACCGCCGAACCATTTCTCCAGGCCCAACCTGTGTGTTTTCAAAACAGCATAATGCATGAGTACCACCCCTATGTAATCCAAATCTCAGAGAATGAGGACTAGCACCACAGGTTTTTAAAAGCCTGGGAAGGCAAAGTTAGAGAACAATGAGGTAGTGATCAAAGTCACCTGGGAAGCCTAGAGGCCACTTAACCCAGCATCAGGAAGCTCCCGTATTTCAGTTTAGTGAGGGCCCATGCTCCTCATCCTCATCAGGTGATGCTGAGACACAACCACACCCAGGTTCCTTCACTCTCAGGAGCAGTGCCTCGCAAGCTTTAAAGTGCAGAAGAATCACATCATAACCATGCTAACCAGAGCCACTTTATCACAGAAAGTACAGATGCTTCCATCCCAAGCTAAGAGATCCTGAGATCTGGAGTCATCAGGTGCAGGGTTGGGGTACATCCATAAAACTCTGAAGCACACTCCCAAACCATACTTCATGAAACACTCAGCCAGGAATAGAGAGATGAGAATTGGGGCTTGCCCTCAGGATATTTATAAATGAAGAGAAAGTCAAATAAATTCAAATTTACAAGGAACCACTTCTTGTAGTGTTTAGCACCTAGTGTCATTAGCAACAGACCGAATTATTGCAGAAATTAGTTTTGAGTAAAAAGAAGAAAAAGAAACAAACCAACCCAGAGGAATGGCTATGTTCTGTCACAAAAAATACCAAGGCTTTCTGAGACACAGAAAGCAAGATTTTAAAATCATCTTTTGGAATCTTCACCTATTTGCCTCTTCTTTTTACTTTCTTTATTCTTTGAAGTTATAATATAGTTACATCATTTCCCCCTCATTTTCCTCCCTCCAAATCCTGTCATATACCCTTCTTTGTTCTCTTTCAAATACATGGACTTTTTCATTAATTGTTATTATATACACATGTGAATATGTATATATCATACGTATATATTCCTAAATACATAAATTCAACCTGCTCAGTCTGTATAGTGCTACTTGCATGTATATGTTTTCAAGTAGTGTAATTTCTATAGCAAGTATCATATCAAAGTTGTGATTGAAATGTATGTGCACTCTGAAAATCATAATTAAAAGGCTATATCATGAAAACAGAAGAAATGTTATAAAACCACATTAAAGTATAGTTGGCATATTATATACATATATATGTCTATTCATAAGTATATATAACCAAGCATTTCTAAAAATCTGAAAGAATTAGTCACTTAGTCTAAGGATTTAGTTTGGCTGTCCTATGGAAAATGTCACAGACATATCTCCTACTACAAATAAGAAATTACTGATTCTAGTATGAGTACTCCAAGTGTCAAAAATCTATGAAATTATTAACTATTAATGTGAGCAGAAACTTAGACCATAACTATCAGTTCAACAAACTGCAAAGCATAGAATGACCATCGTTATAAAATGCATTTCTTTTAGAGGCTGAATGAAGTAGCTAGTTCCTTACAGGATATTATGTTCTGGACAAAGCTTTTCCATGGGAAATGTGCCCAAATCTGGCAGGGTTTCTTGGAAGAGACACACAAGAGACACTTCATGTCCTCATTCATAATAATAGACAGTGTAAGCACTTACTGAATCCCTACTCTAAGGCAATGGGCAAGCACAAAATAGGTCAATGACTACTTCAGCGAAGTGCTGAAAAGAACTGTTGAGAGGTTGGCAGGCCAGAGAAGGCTCCCTGAAGAATGTGGTGGCTGGGCCTGAAAGAAACGGTAAAAGAGAAACAACTAGGTCTGAAGAGATGGCTCAGAGGTTAAGAGCACTGGTTGCTGTTCCAGAGGACCTGAGTTTAACTCCCAGCACCCACGTGATGGCTCACAACTGTTTGTAACGCCAGTTCTAGGAAATCCAACGCACTCATACAGACATACACATGGGAAATACAAAGAGAAAGAGCTAGCATTCATTCATTAGACACCTATTGGTTTCTGTGTGCCAGAATCTGTGCTTCATGGATATAATGGATAAAATTAAGAGTTCACCTTCCTTTGGCAGTTTAGAACTCAGCTAAGTAGACAACAGAATTTATGACTCTAATATGTGTTGTAGTAATGCTAAACACAGGGGTAGAAGCATTTTACAAGGCTGGTGCGAGGGAAGTTTCCTACAATAAAAATGATCTAAATGGATAGTTTATAAAAATGGGCATGAACCAACCACAGGATGGTAGAGAGAATGGCAGTTTGTGAAGGCCCAGGAAAAGAGAGACATGGAGGGTGAGGAGACTTGGATAGGAACCAGGTCCACTGTGGCCACCATTCAATTTATTCACTAACGTAGTACAGCCAGGAAGGGGAACACAGGAAAAGTGATTTAGAAAGATGCATTTTGCTGGGCATGGTGACGCACTCCTCTAATTCAGCCCTCTAGAAGGCAGAGACAGGTGGGTATCTGTGAGTTGGAGGCCAGCCTGGTCTACAGAGTGAGTTCCAGGTTAATCAGGGCTACATAGTGAGACTCTGTCTAAAAGAAAACCAACCAACAAAACAATAGCAGCAGCAACAACCAAGAACTAGAACGATGCATCCATGAATCTGAGCGGGGTGGCAGGCCACTTCAGTAAGGTTTCTGGGGGCAGGCTCTGCAGGAGGATGAACAATCTTATCTAACTACCTTTTGCCACACTGTGGTCGCTTCTCCCCTCTTTCGGTTTGTAGTAATTCCTAGCAAGATGCACAGCAATACGAAGCCAACACAGATTAGACTTCTACTAGATGATTATCAAGTATCTCTCTATGACCTCAATGGAGACCAAAAAGGCCGAGAGAAATGGCCGAGCTACTATGCTGAGGCACACGGGCTTGTTTTCGTCCTCGATTCTTGTGACACAGCACGCATACAGGAAGTGAAGATCATCTTAACACGCCTGATGTTTGATAAAAGGGTAGCAGGGAAGCCCATCTTAATGTAAGTTTCTGTCTTTGTGGTCTACTTCCCTTTGCCAATTTGTGCCTTGGGAAAGGTATAGAGGTTAAAGGCTGGGCACTCCTTTGGTCACAGGGAGCTAGACCCCTTTAGGCTCAATGAGGCAGAAAGGCCTACTTCACTGGTCACTGTTTTCAAGAGCCACTTTCTACTCCCCACTGCCATGCGAGACACTACAGCTAACTATACAAACGAACCCCGTCTCTTCATCAAAGAGAAATACCATCGAGATCTCCCATCCCCAAGCCTGACTCTTGCTGAAGACTCTTCCTGGATTTGCTCTTTTCTGGTTTGAGTCTCTGGTCCCGAAACTTGATGATGGCAGTGAGCAACCACCCCCCCCCCTTTTGTATAATGTAAGTTCCTATGCCTTCCTCCCTCAGTTGGTGGCTCAAGACTTATGTAACTGGCACTCGTTTCAGAGGGAGACCTCCAGTAACCTGTCACGCCTCACCCCTTCCAACTCCCTTTTTGCCAGTCTCATCCCTCATTAGCAACCCAACTGGAGTATGCAAAACTCCACACCTGTTCATATCCCAATTAGCGACCGTAATTAAAGTTCCAGGCATGATACAGAGGAAGTGGGAAATAAGCTCTGGGGATTATCTTGGATTCAAATAATTTGCACTATTTTTTTCCTCCACTGTCTAGCCAGTCTCACTGGGTATACATTTAGGCCCAATTCCTGAACACGTGGCAGTTCCCCTACCCCCCCCCTTTTTTTTTGGTTTGTTTTCTGTTGTTTTTGAGATACGGTATTGCTGTGTAGACCAGGCTGGCCTGAACTCAGAGATTCGCTTGCCTCTGGCTCCCAAGGGCCAGGACTAAAGGTGTGTGCCACCATGCAGGGCTTTTCCCTTCCCTTTGACTTCACCTTGGCTCCACTCTTCTCATCTTTTCTGCTCTTTCATATGCCCTGCTCTAGCCTGGCAAACAAACAAGACAAGGAGGAAGCCCTCTTGCCTTGCGATATCATCGAATATCTACTTCTGGAAAAGCTAGTGAATGAGACTAAGTCCATGTGCCGTGTGGTGAGTGGCAGCATTTCCTTCTCTTCCTCTAGCCCTGGCTAATATAACCAGGGCCTTCCCTGTCTGTCATCAGCCCCAAATGCTGGCTTGGAGGCAAAGTTCCTTTCCCTGACAGGCAACATCTGTTGTGATTATTTCTACCTTGATAATGACAACACATATTACACTCTGCCTTCAAAGCAGTTCTGTAAGATTTTAATATCCCCATTTTATACGTGAGAAAGCTAAATGACCTGAAGGTCTCAGTGACTTGCTTGAGGTCACACAATGAAGGCACTATAGCCATTGTATTAAAGGCCCCAGCTTTTATGCTCTACACCTACTCTCTCAGATGTGAATGCTGAGTGTTTCCTTGGAAGCTGAGAACCTATTTAGGCACAGCACATCTACCTCTGACATTTAGATGACAGTGATCAGGCCTTTAGACCCTAAAGGTCCAGGGATCCAGATCTGAGGCCTTCTTTTCTCTTGTTTACAGGAGCCATGTTCAACTATGAAAAACCTCCCAAAGAGGAACCAACAGCCGATAATTATAGGCCTGCGCTGGCTGTTAGCTGCTATTGGGGATCAATACGATGAGCTGTGTACTCGACAACAAACATCCAGTAAGAGCATCTCAACCTCCAAGAACATCAGAGGCTGTGGAGAGAGATGCTCATCGGACAGGTACTGAGCTGCTGTCTTTTGGTTGACTGACCATACAAGTGGAAGCCAATCTTCAACATGACCCACGAGTTCTGAGAGGTACTTGAATTCAGGGCAGTAAGCCCTGGAGAATCTGATGGCCCAAGTGGGGCTATGGCAGTGCCCATCAACATTGCTGGGTATACTACCTACCCTGGAACAGCTTCAGCAGTCACTTTAGTGGGATGAGTGGCATAGAGGTTAAAAAAAAAAAAAGGTAAGGCCAACCTATCAGCATTAGGGCTTCTCCTAAAAAGGACATCTGTTCCCTGAGTTGCCATGTGGAAGACAAGAGGGAACATGTGCCCCTTAAGGAGCCTATTGACAATATTCTACAGATGAATATTACACAGCTGCTCTGAATTCTCAGCCTCCAGTTCTCTGATCTGCTTAACCATGGAACGATAGAAAGAACAGGAGTGTTGAAAAGATACCTAGCGCACGCTCAGGCTTTTGAGGACTGTAAGGCTGAAATGTCCTCTTGCTCTGTTGTTATTTTCACTGCCCAAAGGCATAGGGAAAAGATAGGACGGCAGCTGCATTGGCTAAAGAGCTTGAAGGCAGGGACAGTTCAGTGTAGAACATTAGCCACATTCATGGATGGTCTAAACGCAGGCCCCAGCACCAAAAACAAGAGGGAAAGTCTTGAAATATGTCTCTTTCTTCTACTGACTTGTTCTTTCAAATTTAGCATAGCTAACAGAGGGAGAATGCTCAAAGACAACAGACAGTGCGTTCAGAAAAGACAACACCGGGAACATAGACAGCATGTTGAACAAAGACACTTTGAGAAAAGGCAGCATTTTGAATCAAGACAACATTTAATACAGCGCTCACTGGATGCTAGGCCCTTAAAGCCAATCCTACAGGTAAATGGCTTTTTGAAATGCTATTGCCCATGGTCTGTAATTGAACTCTTGAGGACTACTTGACGATTTCCCTCTTCTTCTTGGCATACAGAAAGATGGTCTGCGAATAAGGCCCAAAAAGAATATGTCAGTAACATTTGCTTTGGATGTAATCATGGAGGAAGGTGAATGTTCTCGGAAGATTGGAACTCAGAGTATTACCAAACCTTGCAACAGCCAATGTTATGAGACACAGACTGCAGCTCCATCTATTGACAACAATCTTTTCAAAGGTAATGTTGAATTGTTGGCTATAAAAGAAAAGTTATATAGGCCATCCTTTATATTTTCTACAATAGCATTCCTATTTTGAGAATGAAACTCACTTTTCACACTACGGTGTGTTATAGAGAGAAGTATGGGACAAAGCTTTGAGACCATCTTCTGATAGGCCAGCATGGTAACCCAGCATTAGCTGACACAAGATCTTTGGATGGCCATAGCAATAACTTAAAGGTTATGCGTGCCAATAGTGGAAGCGCAAATTGGCATAACCTTTATGTAGGGTATATTACCTGTCTCTCTCTCTCTCCCTCCTTTTCTCAATATTATTAAGAACCTTCACAGGCATAAATGTGATGCAGGCCAAAGACTCATACACATTAAAATAAAATAATATGTTTAAAAAGAACTTAAACTATGGTAACCATTTAAACTACTAGTCTCATTTCTTAGCTGTCTACAAAGCTAATTACAGAAGTACCCAAAAAGTATACTAAATAATATTCCAATTATATCATCCAGTACAAGAGCTAAATGTTGGAAACAATGTAAATGCCCAATGACAGGGATAGCTAACTAAATTAAGATGCATCCACACTGTGGAGACATGAACATTGCTACTGATGGGTCACTGGGGAGATGACTCGGTGTTTCCTGTGCCTTCCATGCCAGCAAGAAGAACTGAGTTTGAATCTCCTGCACCAATAACAAAGCTGTAACCCTAGCCTGGGGTAAGCAGTAGGGAAAGGAGCATCTGGAGCTCATTGGCTACCCACCCTAGCCAATCAGTGAGATTTAAGTTCCGTGAGAGACTCTGTCTCCAAAAGAAAGAGAACCCTGAAGAGTCAAGCCCTGGCCTCCTCATACACATGAACACAAACACACATACACATACACTATACACAAAATATTTAAATGCTAGTGATGACCTCCATTTCCTAACATGGAAAATCTTCCAGCACTTGACATATATTGACTGTCAACTGACAATGATCATGTCACCTCAGGCTGAACTGTTTGTTATGCATTATTCAGGGATGTTCACTTGGCCGAAGCCACTAAGGAGAAAATGGGCACAGTTCCGGGGGTAAGGGGTGAGGATGAAAGCTCGGTAGAAGGAATCTAGTAGCAAATAGTGTGTGTCTTTCTAGAGGTCAGCAACTACCCTGAAATCTTTATCCAAAACTCATTTTCATTTCTATAACCTTAGCTCGTAGGCCAAAAAAGAGAATAGATACCTGGGACACTGAAGAAATGTTACTGGAAGATCCTCGTGGCGAAGCCTTCCGTTCCTGCAGTTAGTATTCCTTAATAAAGTGACAAAGAATGTTGGAGGCTGGGGTGGAGGGTGGGTGTCCTGTAGGGTGCCTTGGAAACTGGCCAGCACCCTCCTACCCCAAGTAGTGTGGGAAAGAATAGAAACCTTATACTTGGCTTTACTTGCAAAACTAGCTGTTTTCTTCTCCTGATTAGACTTAACAGACTACTAAAGAGGAAACAGAGGGATAGCAAAAGAATCATTCCCTCTATCACCTTTCAGTAAATGGGCACACCTCCAGAACCAGCAGGAACAAGCGCCTTTGACTTTTATTCGATAATGCCTCTACAGCCCACCTACAAGTTCACCTATTGTAAGATCACATCCTTGAGAACCATTGTTTTTCCACACCAGTGCGGTAGCCAGCGAATTCATCCTATACTCATCGGGAGGCTCAGGAAGTTATGTGTCGTCCACCTCACCAAAGAACAGCAGAGCCATGTACTAAGATATTCCTGACAAAGCTTACAGATAAGATGTTGTGAACAACTGAAATTGAGCCTTAGAAGAACAGGGTTACTTTAGAATCACACGTTTTCCTTTAAGGTTCTCAGCTATAAAGGGACTGGCAAAATAAATAAGAATGGTGCTCTAATCAATCAGGTTTTTTGGTTTTTGTTTGTTTTTGTTTGTTTTTGTCACATATCCAAAACCAGGTCTGTTTTAAATACCTAGCTACTGTCTGGGAAGCCACATTGCTTTGCTAGCCTTTCAGGAACAGCAACTGCTGCCTCTTAACATGTGTGTGGATCCACACTCCCAGTGTGGTGAGCTTGGGATGGTACTGGTCCCTTACTATTATTGTTATCACCTTCATCATGGGCCCCATTTATCAGGTGCTTTCCAGATACCTGGCACAGTGTTAAGTCCTTCCTATCTATTGTCATATTGGCAACCTTCCTGGGCAGGTATTATACCTGGCATCACTTCCCAAATGAGGGTACTGTACACAGCAGAGCAAGGAATGGAATCCAATTCTGCCTAGCTAAAGCTACCTTGGGGCTAAAAAGATCCACACATGCCTCTCTCCAACTCCCTCTAGAAAGACAAAGCTATAGCCAGGAAATTATGCAGAACTGCATCCATGCCTATGTGAGGAGAATTCCGTTAACAGCCATAAGTGCACCAGCAGCGCTAGCAGGCATAGTTGATGGAGCACTTCCGCTTTGTCAGCTGCTAGGCTAACTGCTTTACATATATTACTGCCTTTCATCTTCATCTCACACAGGCAGAAACTGATATTCAGAGAGCTTAGATAATTTGTCCCTGGGCACCCACTAGGTGGTAGCAAAACCAGTTTTGGTTGTTTTTTGTTTGTTTGTTTGTTTTTCCTTTCTTATTGCTATACAATTTCCCACTCCCCTTCCCTCCTCCCCTCTCCCCTTCCACCTTCCCTCCTACCTATTATGGTCCCAATTTACTCAGGAGATCTTGTCCTTTTTTTCTTCCTAGGTGGATCCATGTATGTCTCTCTTAGTGTCCTCTTGCTTGTACAGGTTCTCTGGGGTTGTAGCCTTTTTGTCTAAAAGTCACTTATGAGTGAGTACATATTATATTTGTCTTTCTGGATCTGGGTTACCTCATTCAGGATGGCTTTTCTAGTTCCATCTAGTTGCCTGAAAGTTTCAAGATGTCATTGTTTTTTACCGCTGGGTAGTACTCCATTATGTAATGCTGCTATGAACAGAGTTGAGCAAATGTCCTTGTGGTGTGACCGTGCATCCTCATAGAAGAGAAGTGAGAAGTAGCCTTCAATGCGCGTGCACAGGAAACCACTTCCTAAACATAACTCCAGTAGCACAGACACTGAGAGCAATAATAAATAAATGGGACCTCCTAAAACTGAAAAGATTCTGTAAAGCAAAGGACACAGTCAATAAGACCAAAAGGCAGCCTACTAAATGGGACAAAATCTTCACCAACCCCCGCATCAGACAGAGGTCTGATCACCAAACTATACAAATAACTCAAGAAACTAGACATCAAAACACCAAATAATCCAATAAAAAGTAGGTACAGATCTAAACAGAGAACTCTCAACAGAGGAATCTCAAATGGCCAAAAGACACTTAAGGAAATGCTCAGCATCCTTAGTCATCAGAGAAATGCAAATCAAAACAACTCTGAGACACATAATCTTATACCTGTCAGAATGACCAAAATCAAAAACTCCAATGACGGCTTATGCTGGAGAGAATGTGGAATAAGTGAAATACTTCTCCATTGCTGGTGGGAATGTAAACTTGTACAGCCACTTTGTAATCAGTATGGCGGTATTTCAGAAAATTGAGAATCAATCTACCTCAAGACCCAGCAATAGCACTCTTGAGAAAGTCTGCTTGTTTTTCAAGACAGGGTTTCTCTGTACAGCCCTGGCCATCCTGGAACTCAGTCTGTAGACGAGGCTGGCCTTGAACTCAGAGATCTGCCTGCCTCTACCTCCCAAGTGCTGGAATTAAAGGTGTGTGCCACCACTGTCTGTCTAGTAGAACCAGTTTTTTAAATTAAAGTCCAAGCTCACAGGGTTTATAAAGATGACTCAGTGGTGACTATGTTCATAGCAGCTTTATTCCTAATAGCAAGAACCCAGAAACAACATAGATGCCCCTCAACCAAAGAATGGATTTTTAAAAATGGGATACATTTATAGAATGGAGTATTACTTAACTGTAAAAACAAAAATTGACTTCATGAAATTGGCAGGCAAATGGATGGAACTAGAAAATAAATTATCCCAGTTGAAGTAACACAGACCCAGAAAGACAAACACAGTTTGTACTCACTCGAATCATAAGTGGATATTAGGTGTATAACAAATGATAACCAGACTACAATCTACAACCCCAGAGAAGCTAGGTACCAAGGAGGGCCCTAAGAGAGACATGCATAGATCCCTCTGGGAAAGGGAAATAGATATGATCTCATGGATAAACTGGGGGGGGGGGGGGGATGAAAGCATGAGGGAACATGGTGGTTGCACTGTGGGAGAGACAGAGAGGGAGAACAATGAAAGAGGGAACCATTTGAGGGTTAGGGAGAAACCTGGTGCTAGGGAAATTCCCAAGAATCCACAAGGATAATCCCAGCTAAGAATCCTAGCAGTAGTGGAGAAGATGCCTGAACTGACCTCCTGTAACCAGATTGGTGACTACCTTAGCTGTCACCATAGAACCTTCATCCAGTAACTGATGGAAACAGATCCACAGCCAAGCACTGAGCTGAGATCTGGAAGTCCAGTCAAACAGAGGGAGAAGACATTATATGAACAAGGGGGGAGGTCAAGATCATGATTGGGAAACCCACAGAATCTGCTGACCCAAGCTTTAGGGACCTCACAGACTCTGGACCGGCAGCTGGGGAGCCTGCATAGGACCAAACTAGGCCTTCTGCATGTGGGTGACAGTTGTGAGGCTTGGTCTGTTTGTGGGGTCCCTGGCAGTGGGACTAGAACTATCTATCCCTAATACATGAGTTTGCTCTTTGGAGCTCATTTCCTATGGTGAGATGCCTTGCTCACCCTTGATGTGGGGAGAGGGGGACACGACCGAGAGGGTGTACTTGGCCCTGCCTCAAAGTGATGTGTCAGATTTTGTTGACTCACCATGGGAGGCCTTACCCTTTCTGAAGAGTGGATGGGGGATAGGGTGGGGGGAGAGGTAGGAATAGCAGGAGGAGGGGAGGGACGGGGAACTGTGGTTGGTATGGAAAATAAATAAAACATTTAAAATAAAAAAGAGTATTTAATGGGCAAGCATGGAGACCTGAGTTTAGATCCCAGCACCCCTTCTGAAAAACAGCAGGCCATGACCATGCATGCACCTGCAATCCCTGAACTAATAGGAGCTGACAGATGGACTGCTGAGACTTGACAGTCGCTTGCAGCTTCAGTGAGAGACAATCTCAAGAGTAATATAGAACAGGTCTCCAGACACCTTCTGGCATCAGTGTGTATGAACACCCCTGATACACACACTTGTATCTGTACCACAGATAAATACACCATACTCACACATATACATATACATACATACATACCCACACACAGAAATAAAATCAAATCCAGCTCCATAATCTACGCTCTAAACTCTACCCTAAAGTGCTTTGCCAAGCAGTATAAGCTAATCAACCTATTGTTGGACAGATAGAAACTTGTCTTAAAACCCTGCCCCAAAGAGGTTTCTCCTTCTCCTCCTGCTTTTACCTTCTTCTTTCTCTTCTTTTGTCTCTCTGTGTAGTGTCAGCTGTCCTGGAACTCTCTATGGAGACCATGCTGGCCTCAAACTCAAAGATATCCACCTGGCTCTGCCTTCTAGAGTGCTGGGATTAAAGGTGTTTGCCACTACGCGCAGCACCAAGGCTGCTTTATTATATCCAAAGGACCCATTTTAAATGCTTTATGGGTCTTTGCTATGCTTGTAAGCTCAGCTTATTAGTTGTGGCACTGGAAAGAACCTTACAGAAGTTCTAGTCAAACCCATATTATGCAGATGTCCAAGATAGTATGGCTGGATACTGGCAGCAATGCTCCCTAAATCTGCATATTCTGTGTGTCCCAATCTGCATCCTCCCTGGGCCATCTTAATCTTCTCACTCTATCAACTTTCCTTTGCCTGTTAGAGAATTCTGCCATCTAACAGTCTCAGCCTGGGAAGCAGCAAATGCCTCTATGGAAGACGTTTTAGGGCTCAGGCTGCACAGTGGTAAAGCACCTGCCTAGAATGCTCAAGGCAACAGGCTTGATGCTCAGCACAAAAGACAGAAGACTGATTCGGCAAACCACATTTCAGCTTGTTTTTTTTTTTTTTTTTTTTTTTTTTTTTGAGACAGGGTTTCTCTATGTAGACAAGGTCACCCTAGAACTAGCTTTGTAGACCAGGGTGGCCTCGAACTCAAGAGATCCATCTGCATCTGACTCCTGGGTACTGGGATTAAAGGTGTGTCTCAGCCAATAAAACCATTTTTGGTTTTTGTGGGGTTTTTTTTGAGAGAATTTACAATATACACACATTTTTCTTCATGACATGTGTCTATTAGACAGGAATATTTTCTTAGCCAACAGAGAAAGAAGTAGTGTAGTATCTGTTCTGTCTCTTTAAGAGACAAGCCACACCCCCTCCCCCTCCCCCTCCTGCTGAGGCAGGCTGATCTTCAGCTTCCAGCCTGACTTCCTTCTCTTTTCCATCTCCCTCTCAAAGAGGCAGCTTCTGCCTCTCCCCACTTCTGTCTCTCCTTCTCTCTGCTCTTCTTCTCCCCTTCCCCCTCCATAACCCACTGAATAAATATCCAACCTCACTCTGCATGGTGTACCTACCCATGTCTCTGTCTCTTGCCCACCGCCACGTGTCTCCCTGCCCTGGACCAGCCACCACTTTGGGGACCTGCAGTCATCCCTGCCTGGGACTGGTTGCTCTCAGGGCTCACTGCCTGCCACCACATGGTCTGCTGCCACCCCTTGAGGACCTGCAGTGTTTCTGCTGCCTGCCACTGCCAGCGATCCTGCAGCATTTTTAATAATCCATTTCAAGTAGACCTATGAATATGAGCAAGATAGAGAATTAAGGTTAATCACCTGCTTACAGAACTTCAACTGGAGATGAAGCATAGTGGGCAGAGTGCTTGCCTAGTACTTGGAACCCTGGGTTTTCTCCCAGCGCCATATAAACGGGATATGGTAGTGTACACCTATAATGCCAACATTCAGGAGGTAGAGGCAGGGGGATCCACCATACAGCAAATCCAAGGTTGTCCCAGGATACAAGAGACCCTTTCCAAAAATGAAAAAAAAAATCCTGAATTACAGTACATTGTCACACTTCCCTTTGTGCAGTAGATATGTGTCTGAGTGAGAAGAACTTTTTTCTAAATCAAAGCTAAAGTTGGGTGTGTTTTTTTTTACATTTATTTTGTGTGCCTATGTGTATGGACACTGGACTTGAACTCATGACCCTCTTTCATACTGGGGTTACAGGCTCATACCATTTCACACAGGTTTTGTTGAGCAATTTTTTTGCAATAGACTTTTCCTTTATTTATTTGTTTGTTTTTATATTTCTTTCCTTTTGTAAATGTATGTGGAAGTCACTTGCAGAAGTCAATTCCCTACTTTAACTATGTGGGTTCTGGAGACTAAATTCAAGCGGCCAAGCTTAGCAGCCAAATGCTTTTAGCTGCTGAGCCACCTCACTGTGAAGGGCTCTAGCAGGCCAGAGCACAGCAAACACGGCCATCGTAGACCTTGCCCTTCCCCCTCCCCTCCTACTTGCTAAACCATAGAGAAGATCCCTGAAGCTAACCACCAAGGTCTATTCCCTTATTTGCCTTCTTCCTCCTCCTGAAGCTGACCATC